TGTAAATTTGATCTTTTGGCATGGAGTAAACTGAGTAGAGAAAAAAAAGAAAACTGGATTTTACTCTTTTAAAGAGTAACATATGTACATTTTGTACTCTCCTAAGAAGAAAATATACTCTTTCTGATTCTAAAGTAAGCATACTTTGTTTGGAGTCTCATTCATATTATTGAGTGTATATATAAAAATACATGTCAGCAATGGATTAATATGTTTAAATTACTTTTTATGTCTTCTTTATCAGGAGGATGAGGTGATCATTTTGACTAATTAGAATCCTTTGCCTGGTGCCATTTGAGTGTCTTTCAGCTGTGTGTAATTTTTAGGAGACTGCAGTATTTTTAGTCTGCCATACGAGCAATATTTCCATTAACATTTGATTAGAAACAGTTTCTAAATGGAGTAACTATTCAATTGCAAGGCTAAAAATTCTGCATGATGTGTGTATTCTGTTAACTTTGGTTGCACGTGATTGTTTCCTTTGCTTCTTTTAAGAGTAAAATTAAATTTCTTCATCTAGACATTTTCCAGAAATTTCATGCAATATAATTGAACATATTAAAGAATTTTGTGGAAAGAGAATTTCAACTGTAGCTGGAAAACAATTGACATTTGGGAGGAAAAAAACATCTCCTAGAGGTGTCTTTAATGACCAGTTAATTTTCATGCTGTGTTACCTAATGTTTATTTTTATTTATTTATTGTCAAGTTCTGGAAAATTCCTAGTTCAGCCTTTCTGTGTCCAGTAACTTATTTTTCTCCTTCTAGTTTTGGGAGGCCTGGCTTTTCCTTCTTCTGAGTTTGTTATACTTCTAACAATTGGATACTTTTAGATGCAAGTTCTTTTAGTAGAGAAAGCAAATTTGCTTTTCATTTTTTCTGAAATGTTTTCACTGATAGCATAAATTCTTAGAGTAAGCATGATGCTTACTAATCCACTTTACCTCACATATACTTATACAAAAAGATTTAAAAAATAATTCTCAGGCCATGAAAATTGTTATTAGCCTGTCTGTTTACTACTGTTGAATATTGGTACCGTTATGGAAGTTAACCTAGAGGGGTATAATGCTGTCAGATTTAAATTTTTATTACAATTTTTTACCTCATTTCTTTTTGACCTGTGGTTCATGTTGACTGATTTCAACCACTGGTATGCTCTTCTTTTTTACTCAATTTTTATTTTTATCTAGCATTGTAATTATAATGTCCTAGCATTATATTGCTGTAGAGTTAAAAGGTAATTCATTTGGAAAACATCTCATTCCATTTTGACTGAGATGATTATAGATTCACATGTAATTAAAAGAAAAAATACAGAGATCCTGTGTACACTTTGCCCAGTCATTCGGTTTTTGAATGTGTTAGAATACTAAAATTTTTCCACTGACACATTTTATTTTTGCATGTTATAGAGTGCATCAGTAGACTTCGTGTAGTTTTTTTAAGTATACTTAAGTAATGTAAAGTGCAGTTAATCGATGTATTTCTATTTTGTAGTATCTTAAAGCAGGTTCCTTGAAAGATCCTCTGTTAGATGACCACGGAGATTTCATTAGAATGTGCACAGCTATGAAAAAGATTGGTTTGGATGATGAAGAAAAGCTTGATCTGTTCCGGGTAGTAGCTGGTGTCCTGCACCTTGGAAATATTGATTTTGAGGAAGCCGGCAGTTCTTCAGGTGCTTTTGTTTTGTTTTTATCCTTGATGAGGAGTAAAATCAGTTCTGTCATTTTTTTGTCATATGTAAATTGAATATGTATGCAGGTTTGTTAATATCCTGAAATTTCTAGAATATACTGTATTACATGGTGAATTGTGCAAATGAAGGATGCTACACGATTAGTCATTATGATCTCTGTTTTGAAGAATTTAGTGATACTGATGAAGAATAAACTCTTTTTCTGAAGGAAAAGTAACTGATTACCAGGGTCATGTTTAGTTAAATTTTTCAACTGATGTTATACTTTCCCAGTAAGTGAACAGAGCAATTCTGTACCATCTGTTAAGGTATTTTGATTTAAGCTTGCATCAGTTAATTAGGGCTATTGAATGCATAAAAGTCCATATACTTTATTACTGGAAAATGAGAATAGGATAAACTTTATGCAAATTCAAAAGAGCATTTAAATGCCTGTATGACAGTAACTTTTCAACTCTTGTTTTTCAGTCTCTATATAAGAGTAAAATTTTTTGTATAATCTGAAGTTTGATCCATGAATGCAGGAGTTAACAAACTATGGCCTATGACTAAATCTGACCAGCTGCCTGTTTTTGTAAAAATAATGTTAGCACACAGCCACACCCATTTACTTATGTCTTGTCTATTTCAGCTTTTGTGCTAAGTGGCACAGTTGGGTAATTGTGATAGAGAGTGTAAAATCGGCAAAGCCTAAAATCTGGCACTTGATAGAAAAAGATTGTTGATGCCTACATAAAATACATTATTTAAAAATCTTATACTGAGTTAAAAAAAATTGAATGCACCATTTAATGTAGTAGTCAATAACATGAGCCTTAGTGTCAGATTCCAGAAGCTCCCTGAGCCTTGGTTTTTTTATTTGTAAAATAATGAATAAACAATCCATGAGAAGTGCTTTAAAAGTGTAGTATCTGGCAGTAGTATGCATAAAGGGAAGCGGCACAAGAGTAAGGGAAGAGCATTTAAAAAATGTGTCAGGGCCGGCCGAGTGGCGCGTTGGTTAAGAACTGGCTTGGGACGCCAGAGGGCCTCGGTTCGGATCCCACATATGAGGGTCAGTGACAACAGCTCAACCTGAAGCTGGGCTGCCGTGAGTCGCCGGCGATGGCTAGGCTGCAGCCCCNTCAGATGGTAAAGGCAATCCAAATAGAATTTTACGTGTTTACAAAGCTATAACAGAATAGTTGCATTTAAATATAAATTTGTGATTTTTAAATAAACAATGACAATGATTCAGGTTTACAATTTTACGTATATCTATTAAATAAAATTAAAATTATAAATATAATGTATGCAATATTGTTGTCATCTAATTTTTTTTTACCCTGTATTTTAAACAGATATCTGACTGAATCCTATGGGACAGGTCAAGATATTGATGATAGAATTGTTGAAGGTATTGTTAATTTTAAAAATTCTGATTTTCTCTTGTCAGTTATATACTGAAATTAACTTACAATAATCCTGTTAACTGGTCTGGAATGTTCTCCCAGAGGTCAAAAGACTCCCTCTCCTTTAAATCTTTGCTCACATATCGTATTCTCATTTACTTAATGTCAGTTGTCCCCTCACCCACCGCAAATGTAAGTGCTAAGAGGACAGGGAGTTTTATATATTCCAAATCCTTGGACTAGTGCCTGATGCATAGCATATGCTCCATAAATGTCTGTTAAATGAATGAAAGAAACACAGGAAGCTCTTTGGCCCCATTTGTTTTGTTGATCTTGTTTATTGTAAAGAAGGAGAGAGCGAGATGGTTATTTGAAACTGGGTGCTTGTTTTGGGAAATAATTTTAGCAAAAGAGTACAATTAGAAGGCAAGAGTCTGTAAATTGATTTCCTTATGCTGTCAGTGCTTGCATGCCCTTAGTAAGCCTCCTTGTACCCCATTTTGGAGACTGCTTCTCTAATTTACCAATATGTTTGAATTACACCGCCTTTCACCTTCAAAGATTCTTCTCGGCCCCTCCTCTTGTTTTCCTTTAATTTAATCCTTTGTTGGGAGTTTGGAATATCTTTTTTTTTTTTTCTGGAATGATCTTTTTTGATTTAAACCCTTTAATGGCTTCATATTTTTCTCAAGATAAAGCCCAAAATTCGTAACATCACCTACAGTGCTCTGTATGGTGTGGTCTCTGCCTCCTCTGGTGTAAATGGAGT